TTTTGTGATAAAACTGGTTATTCATTATAGATAGGTCGCACTGTTTAATTAATCATATTTTGCAATACTACATTAAATGTTAATAATAACAGAACGATCCCATAAACTACAGTATTCATGCTGAATTGTGGTTAAAATCCAAAAATTTATACTATGGTATCCAGTCCGTCAATAAGTATCCGCCGGTGTTTTACCTTTATAAATTTAACTAATTAAAATTCACTATAGTTTCTTGTTTAGAAATTATTATTTTAATCTAATTAATTAAGCATTTACAAACATAAATATTGCAGAAATTATGCGACAACTTTTTTGACAGCCAATCTAACGCAACTATATTAAAAGACATTGATGAAATAAAAAAGCACTCATCTGACCGTGATAAAAATTGTCATAATATTAATAATGGACATGATGTATTTAAAAGGCCACCTTTATGGCCACAATTTGCCCTGCTGTTTATGCGCAATTATCTAATTAACATACGCAACACCGCGGAAATTAAGTCTCGGGTGATTGGCAATTTGGTTTGTAAACTAATTATTTTGTTTTAATTCAATAGTATTGTGTAATACTACAAAATTATTTTACTTCCATGTAAAAGGTTATGGCTATATTTTTGGGTATGATATATTACAAACAGTCTCCGATATCCACTGATGTCGACAATATTAATGGCGCCCTATATCTAATCGTACAAAACAACCTACAGTTAAATATTTTGATATCTGTTACTGTAAGTTGAGGTCATGTGATTTGTGGAGGGGTTGGGGGAGTCGTTTGTTAAAATAATTTTGTTTGCTAATGTAATTGAGATTAGATTTGTCTAGCGCATGCCATTATGTGCATATTCTTACAATTTATCAGCTCAAATAATATAAAATTTTGTAAATTTAATAAATCAATGTTGTTTTATTTACAGATATTTTGTGATGATACCATGGCTCTTTTTTTGCGCGAATACCACAATCAATTATATTCGTTACTACCGTACTATCTGTCGCACATTATTATCAAGGTATTAATATTAATAAAGTCCCACCTTGACTCAACTTCTTTTAGGTCTAATAAATTTATTGGAATTATTTTTCTGATACAAAATTAAGCAATATTTACAACAAGATTGTTTGTGGTTGATAATAAATTATATGATTATACTTACTATAGATACCATTTACACTTGTAATATCGGTAATTTGGGTGTTAATCATGTACTTCATGGTGGGTCTCAATTCCGATCCGGATGCGTTTTTCATTTGTGTTGCAAATAACATATTATTGCTAATGTGTGGCATTTTTTGTGGTATTATTTCTAACATATAATATTATATTAATAACATATTATGAATAACATGCTGTAATTCCATGTTAAATCCCATAGAGCGGAGGGGCGAAAAGGGTAGGAGCTAAATGATTCTACAAACTAATTCATAGCTGAATTATGGTTAAAAATACCAGATTATACAAAATATTAATTATTGTTGGAGATCATTTATTTATAACATTACTTATAATACACTTGGAATGTACTTGGAATACACAATGTGTATAACTTCAAACTTTAATTATTAATCACATTATAATAAAAAATTATTACCGTATTACCCCGCTTATAAGTGCATGCACTTATAAGTGAATTTTACAGATTTTGCATGTCACAAAAACTACCGCACCTATATCCGGATATAAGTGCACACCTTGTGTAAAAATCACATATAAGTGCGTCAATATTTATTTGTCAGAATTATTTATAAAAATTTAATAAATTAATGGGTAGATGATACATTATGTTATAATTTAAAGTAAATCTTCATTTTGATTTCTTTCTTTGTTTTGTAACACTTTGATCACTGATTTCTATATTTATATTCAATTTATCAATTGATTCACGGATTATTTGAATTGATTCATATTCATTATATGATTCATATAAATTGAAACAAAGGTTCATTTTAACATTTTTCTCTGTAAACCTATGTAAAAATGTAAATGAACCTTTGATTGGATCTATACGGATCATATGAGATATTTCACAGTAATGTACCCATTATTCATGAAACTCACCAATAGATAAGTTTAATAACAAGTCATACGACTTTTATTTCAAGGTATATATAAATTTCAATTGAAAGTCAAAAATGTGCCAAAAACTACCACACCTATATCCGGATATAGGTGCACCCCTTGTGTGAAAACTCACATATAAGTGCATGCACTTATAAGCGGGGTAATACGGTACATAGGTTAGGCGTAAACTTGTAGAAATAAAACATAATTTATTTTTGATGTGTTATAAAAGTAGAAGCCAACCTAATATTCACATTTTGTTTATAAGGTTGCTTCATATCGTCGGTAGCACCCAATACACAGATGGCAATGGTTATTTGGCCACCAATAACGCTAACAATGTCAATTTTTGGTGGATTATTTATTAATTCTGGGTAATTTCTAATATTCAATATATTCAAATATATTTACCATTCTTTACTTACTAGTATAATTCAATTTTTAACCATTACGCAATATAAAATTTCTAATATATACCGCATTGTTTAATCTAAACATTAAATTCAAAACATTCCAGTATTACACAGGTAAATGAATTGCATTTTCATACACCATAACCTGCCTATATAGTTTAAAATATTATTTTTGAATAAACCATTAAGTAATAAATAAATAACTAAAATTGCAAGTGACAGAATAAATTTTTGTTTATTAGCGAAATACCCGAATGGTTAATATGGTTGAAATATTTATCGATCAATCATTACGGTTACGAAACTCTAATAATCAGTCAATGGCGCGACATAGATTATATTGCATGCTACAATGATAGCCAATCAATTGGACACTGTTATGGCAACGGTTCAAACGTGATCATTTCGCAGGGATTTAACCAGGATAATATCCATTGGGATTCAGTTGTGTTAATAGGGATGGCAATTATTTACCTAGTGCTAGGTTACATTGGTATGACGATCAAATGTAAACGAGGCCAATAAGAAACGTTTATTCCTTGACATTGTTACATTAAATACATAGTTAGTAAACATGATTTATGATCAATATACACAATCAACATGTATATTTTGTTTGTTGTAATTTGACTGTAGTAAAAATAAATGACATAAATAAAAGTGTTTGTAATTATAGTTATTTGATCTCAATTTAATGACATCCCTAATTGGTTATATATCCACTTTTTGGGTATCAATCAATTCAATACGGCTGTCATCGCCAGATTGCCTGACCAATGGCCGACAGTAATAGCAACGGCGCAGACCCACCGGTTGAGCAGCGAAATAAAGTCTACCAAAACGCGAGTGCAGTAACTTTGAGATCAACTGTAGTGAGCGTATGGGTCGTCACCGACCGGACAATAGGAAACGCCTTAATTGACTGGTGTTACGGCTGGTGTCGGCGTATATAATGGCCGCCACACCGATGACAGTGGCGTAAGCACAGGCGTAAACCGCTTTGACACCGATATAATATGTGATGAAATAATCGGGCTTTAGGTGTGGGAACTGCTGTTCACCCGGTGTTGGTGTAGATGGTAGAGCCTTAGGGGCGATAGACAGACATTGGCCACTGATAGGACTTCTCGGAATAGAAGTCCGATTACCGTTAAATGACTACAATTAGTAGTCCTGTTGTTGCGGTTGAGTCTTCGGGTCCTTCCGGACGATCCCTAGACTTTATTGCCTTTTTAAGGCTCGTAAGAGCGGTCCCGAGTCCTACTTTTTAGGACAAAAGACCTCCAATGAAATACACGCCGTATTCAATGAGCAATGCTTTTATTACAAAAAGGCAAACAAATTGTTTAAGGAATAAATCAAGACTGAATATATTTTATAGCATTTCAATACAATTTGGATATTATTACTAATAATGAGATTTCAAACATTAATAATTAGCTCAAAACAGAAGTAAATATTCACATATAGAGTCAGAGGTAATACTTTAATACTAAAAGTGATTTATTCATCGCACATGTATGTCGGCGATCGCAACATTGAGTGCATTAAAAGGCCGCCCATAACACCCATCGCCGCCATAATAGCGGTCAACAAAGCGATGTGTTTTTGGCCACAAATGATAGGCGCGGATGTGTTGGTTTAGACCCTTATCGACGACCAAATGGCTGTATAACACGCCGGCCAGATATGGGACACCATTTGCAAACGGCTTGAATTGTTACCTATTTATATTTATTGTAAACCTAGTTGTAAAATATATTTTATATTTAAGAACTATAACAAATTTAATATCTATTAAAAGTGTATAAAACATTAAACTGATGATGATGGTTAAAATTTACGACATACTGAACGTATACTTTACATAGTTAACACCAAACACACTATGCCACCAATCAATGCGAGTATACAGGGTGTACATTATTGGACTCCGCAAAAGTAAACTCGAATATCTCGAAAAATATTCGGTTTAGAAATTTAAATTATATATCAAAATAGTCACCAACTGCGGGAGTTTTTGTTATGATATGGACAATATGCTAGGCCTCCTAGTCTAGAAATAATCTCAAATCAAGCAATATTTTATCATTTTTTCCATAGACATAATGTTAAATTCAACCTGACTTTTGAGCAAATTCCTGCAATAGATCTCAAGTTATTTTTGCTCCTGTTTAAAAATATGTAATCAATATTATTGTGCTGCATGAAGTTTTTGGTTAATTAATGGTTTTTCAATATTTCAGACGTAAAGTGATCTCAAAATAAACAACTTTTGCAACAAATCTTTTATAATACAAACACTACAAACAGCACAATAATATTGATTACATATTCTTAAACAGGAGCAAAAATAACTTAAGATCTATTGCAGGAATTTGCTCAAAAGTCAGTTTGAATTTAACATTATGTCTATTGTGACTAATCACTAGTGACCATGCAAGTAAGAAACACTGTGGATTAAACAAGTATACAATATTAATTTAATTGAAAACCATATGTAACTTATCTTAAGATACCATGGTAAAGTCGGATAGTAAAGAACAATGTTAAAAATAGGCCAATAGTGCACTCGGAAGTTATTATTATAAAAGAAAGTACATTATGTTAGGAGTTGACTTATGTACTTCATATGGCCCGACAACCTCGGGTGTGACCGCAGTGATCACATTTATAGTAATTTTTAGGATTTTTTAGTAATTTAATATAAACATCTAATACTGTATGTTAGATGTATTAATAATTAATAATGATTTGCAACAATGATCTAGGCTCATGTGTATTTTAAAATTCACCAGTCATCGTGTAAGATATAAGTCTATATAAGTAATACGTACAATATATATTAATTACTTTATTAATATGGACTTGAATGGAAAAGTCGCTTTAATCACAGGTTTCAAAATTTTGAATAAATATATGTTTACACTTATAATCTATGAAAACTGTATTTTAAGTGAAAACTGTATTCTAGGCTCGTCTTCGGGTATCGGCGCCGCTATAGCCATAAAGTTGTGGTCTTTGGGCGCAAATGTAATCATCACTGGAAGGGATGACAAACGCATCCAAAAAGTAGTCAACAAATGCCACGAACGGCACAATCAGAGAGCACTCGGAGTGAGGGCTGACTTATTGGTGGACAAAGACATCGAGGAATTGGTGGCGAAGACTATCACAGAGTTCGGCAAAATTGATATTCTGGTCAATAACGCGGGCGTCGGCCCGAAAGACGGGGTTATAGACCCAACATCTATGTTATCATACGATACGCTTATCAACGGTTATGTCAGATGTGTTCAAGTGTTGACACAATTAGTTGTCCCATATCTGGAGATAACTAACGGCAATATTGTTAACATATCGGGCGTATCCGGACTGAAGGCTGTAAATAAAATTACCCCACCATTTAAAAATAAGTTAATCTCACAAGTTTGTATTCACAAATATAGTCACATTTTATGCCAATCTCATACCATATGGCCAAAAGCGCATTGGATATGTTCACTAAATGCCTGGCACTGGGTTTGGGCCCGAAGGGAGTGCGGGTTAATTGTGTCAGGTAAATATTTGTTCAATTGTATGCAACATAATTCAAATTCAATAATAAACTGTTAATTGAATGTTAAGTCCAGCAATTATTCGGACCCCGATGTATGAAACACTAACGGGTAGTGCGGATAAGTTAACGGCCGCCGAGACGTACTGTCGGCTCAATTATCCGTTGGGACGCATCGGAGAGCCCGAAGACGTGGCCGAAGCGGTCGCCTACTTGTGCTCACCCGCGGCCTCATTCATAACGGGTCTCATTTTGCCGGTCGATGGCGGAAGCATTTTGGCGCCCGACAATATCCGCTTGATTAGCAACAACAAATAACTTCTTAATCTACCAAGCTCATTTAGTTAAGTTTATAAGATTAGTTGTTGTTAATCACTCGTAGCTTTTAATCAAGTTTAGATAAGCTAATATTATATATCAGGGTAACGCAAAGCGGGCATAATTGGGCATTGGAGGGTATTGTTATAATGTATTGTCTATGGGGCATAGTGTTGCCAGTCTAGCTTTTTAAGCCTACTTGCGATCTCCTGTTATATATGAATTATTTAAAAATCAAATAGACCAAATTTATATAAACAATTTGGTATAGATTGTAAAATTATTAAACACAAATAATTATAATTAGCAAATAAAATCCAATAAAATAAATCATTAATGACAGTCAATGGCCATAATAACATACACGCTTACTATTTTAGAGGTCTATATTAAGTTACTTTTAATTTAAATAAAATTTAGCTACATTATATTTAATTAGTATTAAATTAATTCCGTATAAATATAATTTACAAACGATCATGATCTTTATTAAATGGCCTATAATGTATATTATCTAACCGTTCAATAAAATCCCATTGCGCAGTTTTTTTTAATTACTCCTAAACGAAATGAACTAGACCAAATCTGTAAACTGTAAAATGATGGTCCACATATCTAGTTTTGTATGTCAAAAAATTATTGAAATCACGTGACTAGAACATAAAAATTTTTGGGTCATTTCGAAATGGCATGGTTTTAGCCCAGTTAAAAGGGGGGGTCGGAGGGGGGCGGGTATGCTGCCTGGTAGAAGACATGTCAAAGTATATGATAGCAAAGTTTTATAAACATCGAGTAAATAGTCTTTCGTAACGAACAATATTTTTAATAAATTTGACACAATATTTGTACAAAAATAGCCCAATTTTGATCTTTTTATACTATATTTTGGTATTTATAAAAATACAACTTTAGGACAACATTTTCCCATAGACCTAATGTTAATAAATAGACCTAATCATATCCAAATAATACAAATTTCATTATATTAGTCACAAACTATTCCGAGTATGCAATTCTCAGATTAATTTATTATAATTCTACCTTTTTGCATCAATTATATAATTTTAATCAATAGAAATTTGTATTAATAATTAATTGTTTAGTATTGTTAGTTCATATACTGTGGTTATTACTTTATTTTAAAGGAAACATCATTAATATAAAGTTTATATAAGGCTTTATGTACATTTTACGGTGAAAATCTCTCTCTCTCTCTCTCTCACTGTCAGGGTAAC